TGCTCTGCCACTTTCAACTGTTGTTGAACAGCCCTGAACTTCTCGGTGGCCTGTGTGCTGTGGTGAAAAAAGGACACGAGCGCACTGCATTTTTCCAGCACTTTCACCACTTCTGGGACAGTTTTTAAACTGTCCTTTACGATCAAATTCACTGTATGTGCAAAACATGGATGGTGCCTCCATCCAGCCTTGTGTACTGCAGCAACCATGTTTGCACCATTGTCTGTCACTACTGCAGCAACCTTGTCAGTTATGCCCCATTTTTCTGCGATGCGTTTAAGCGCTAAACTGATATTGTCAGCTGTATGCTGCCCATTGAAAGTTTGGGTTTCCAAAACAAAATCCCTCATTTCCCAGTTTTCAATGAGATGGCATGTTACAGTCAAATATGCCTCTGTGGACACTGAGGTCCACATATCAGTGGTAAGTACAACACTAGAAGCATTTTGCAAAGATGCCCTTACTTTGCCTTTGCATTCATCAAACATTTCTACAAGATGGGTCTCTGTCAGTTTCTTTCTTCCTGGGAGTTTATATTTTGGGTCAAGAGCTCTCACAAATCCTTGGAAAACTTGGTCTTCCACTATGGACAGAGGCTGGAGATCCTTCGCAATCATCTCTCCTAGGCATCTTGTGAATGTTGCTGCTGGGGATCATCTTTAAACGATTTAAAATCACAGCACAAAATTAACAAGGGGGCTACACTGTACTGAAATCTTAATCTTATTTTGTTTCAACTATGTATGTGTGCATATGTATGCATGTATGTCTCTCCAAATAGCCTAGAATAAGGGGATACAAACACTTGCTGTTTTATAATTCTGGGACTCAAGAATTGCCAGTAAAATATTTAATTAAATAGATGCCACAATTTTTTGCACAAGTTTGTCAATACCAACATTTTAAATATTTATTTAACAGTTAAAGCAAATCACTCATTGTAAATAATAAATATATTATATAGATAAAAGGTTATTTTTGTAACCATCTTTTCCAATAGGCTATATATTTTTCTAAATTCACCCTGGCTGTTTTATCGCAGTTATCCTGTATTATTTAATGACACCTAGTCTATGTAATCCACTTCAAATGATCAATATTTTAGGAAACCTTCCCTGAATAAATCTAGGCTTCATATGTGAGATTATCTCAGTGATACACATATTAGGCTATTACTCCAAGCTGAACTCATGCAGCTATTTGTTGAAGCATGTATTGATTTTTGTTACTTATCTCAAAACCATATTCATTACAACTCAAACAGCAACGGTGCTTAGCAGCGCTTAAATATCCGCATTTTCTCTCTCTGTACCTGGGTAATGTCTGCCTGCAGCACCGGACTCCGCCAGAGACGTCTGCCTTGCCCGAGCACCTGACATACTCTGCTGCTGCTCTTCTGTCCGCCCTTGCGCAAATGTCTCATATTCAGTGTTGTGGTTTGTTCGTAAGTGTTTCACTAGGTTGGTTGTGTTGCCACAACTCTACACGGTTTTCCCACAGATGTCACACAATGCATCCTGAAGAAAAAGTAGTCCCTACCAGCGGCGTGTCATTTAGACAAGATCTGAATAGTTTAGTTACTTTCCACCAAATTCCTGTCAATGATATTGTGATGTCACGAGAGGCTTGGTCTTGGAAGGGAGATACGTTCACCGGCGATGGCTCTAACTACTATGGCTCCATCTGCTGGTGCCCCGAAACTCAGAGCATTCCCCTCACACCTGAGACCCATCAGGGTGTGACGACCCGGAGGCCTTCATAAAGGTGGAAGACACACCGTTGGGGGGGAGACGAGCTGAGAAGAGCAGACCAAGCCATAAGGATTCGAGGAGGCAGGAGAGACCGGGAGGACGGTGTTGTTTTCCTTAAAGAAGTGGATTTCCGTTAAGTTAAGTTTTACCGGCAAAGATTGACCGAAGCCTGAGTTACCCCCTGTTTTCTGTTGAACCTGAAGGACGGAAATTAAAACCTTTTGTTTACATTTTGAACCCGGTGTCCTCGCACTATTTTGAACTACCCCGGAGAGAGCGGCGGCGCCTCTCGTGACATCACAATATACATTATCATGAATGAAGTATCAAAAGTATCGATATTTTCATTTAAAAATTGATTTTAGAGCATACAGATCTAGTATCGGAAGTATCGATGTTTCAGTATCGATCCGCACATCACTATTAGGCACTGATAGTGCGCGTAAAATGTTGGTAACTGCTAGGCTACTTCTTTTTTCAACATCTACCTTAAGCAGCACACAGTCCGCGGAGGACCACCACTGTTGCCCTTAAAGACAGTGGTTTGGAAAACGTCCTGGCTAAATGGCGGGAGAATGTTGGAACTCCGAACACAGCCTGTCAAATGATGAAGAGTTGAGAGCTCAGCAAACTGCACGAGGACAGCAGGCGAAGTCGCTAGTTCAAGATGGTCCACCTGATGGGATTATGCCCTGAAGATGATCAAATGCAACATTTGGTCTTTGGAAGGAAAAAAAAAGCAATAAATCTAGATATTTTAAAGTCTGTTTCATGGTATTCCTTATTTCAGTTCATTCAACAGCATAAAGATTCACCTGCATTACATTATTTTTCACACCCCATCATGTAGACGACCCTAATATAATGATAAAAACATTTTTGGGTGACATACAAATTGAGAGGTATAGCTAAATGTGTATAATAATTTACATTAAAAAACATGTTTAACTAGAAAATGCATTTCCTGCTGAAAATGCGTTGGAATGCAAAAAGCTGAAAGCTGAAATGATTTTTTTTTTCAAAAGCTGAAATTACAGAAAGTTGACGGGAATTTGAATACATTTGCTGAAATTAGATATTAGAAAAGCTGAAATTAATTTGATTAATTGCTGAAAATACAGAAATGGGAGAAGCTGCATGGAATTTCAATAGATTTGCTGAAAAAGCAGAAATGAAAACAGCTGAAATAAATGTGAAATATATATTAAAAAAAACTAGACATAAATGAATATTAAAACATTGCTGTTAATACAGGCATTATTTTAAAGAACTGCTGAAAATACAGGAAGTGGGGAAGCTGAATTTCAATAGAATTTCAAAAAAATACAGAAGTTGCTGGTTAGAAATACAGAAATAACAAAAGCTGAGATGAATAAAAATAGGTTTTAAATTGTTTGTAGTAATAATAGTAGTATTATAGTTGTAATTGTGGTACTACTAGTACTAGCAGCAGAAGTCGGTTTAGTATCAATAGCAGTAGAAAAAGCTGTAATACTAATACTATTAGCCATAGTAGTATTTGCAATAACATTAGTAGTAGTTGTAGTATTAATAGCAGTAGAAATACTAGTAGTATGGTAGTAGACGTATCAGTTGTAGTACTACTAGAAGTACTAGTAATATTCTTAGTGCTTGTAGTGGTATTTGAAAGAGCAATACGTATTTCAACGAAACCGCTTCCCACGTATAGTGCTGGGACAACTGCAACAGGTAAAAGCGATTTATCCAGTGGATATAAGACCAGTTCAGGCCAAGGATCCCACAGTCAGTACCGCCGGCAGTGAAACCAAAGCTAGTGCGAGTGATGCTAAAGTCAGTACAGCTCGTAATAGGAACACTGTCGAACAAGGTTTGTGGGACCCTCCAGTGTCAGTAGATCACTTGACTGCAGACCAGCAGGAAAATGTGAAACAAATGCTAAGGGAAGAATGTGCTGCATTTTCAAAAGACGATAATGATGTTGGCTACATCCCATCTCTGCAGTTGAAAATCAGATTGAGTGACACGACTCCTGTGAGACGGACCTACATCTCTGTACCCAAGTATGGGGACCGGGATTAAGAAATCCCAGTCCCCATACTCCTCACCCATAGTCTGTGTGCGCAAGAAGGATGGTAGTTTGCATCTGTGCGTGGATTACAGAGAGTTGAATCAAAAATCCATTCCTGATCGTCACCCTATCCCAGAGTACAAGACATGCTAAATAGCCTCAGTGGGAGTGCATGGTTCTCTGTGCTGGACCAGGGCAAGGCTTATCATCAGGGTTTCCTGGAGGAGAGTAGCCGACCACTCACAGCGTTTATTACACCTTGGGGTTTGTATGAGTGGGTAAGGATCCCTTTCGGCTTGTCCTCGGCTCCAGCGGAATTCCAGCGCAGTATGGAGGAATGCCTGACAGGTCTCAAAGATGAAACATCGCAGCCATACTTGGATGACAATCTTGTCCACAGCAAATCTTTAGAAGACCATCTTCAAGATTTGACAGTGGTGCTGCGCCGTTATCAGGCACATAGAGTTAAACTCACCGCTAAAAAGTGTGAAGTATTTAAAGACAAAGTGAGATTCTTAGGGATGAGGGGTTTATCAGGGTGAAGAGGCACGATGCCAGCCAACAACATGTTGCCATAACCTTGTGGAGGACATTGAAGGCAAGGGGAGGAGGATATATATCCTCAGCACAGAGGATTGTGGGAGTCATCTTCCCTGACCTGGACTCTGTGTATGCTGGCGGCCTCCAGAAGATGGCCAGCAACATCTACCAAGACATCGCACACGGGTCAATCTCTGTTTTTTTTCACAGCCTCCAGAAGATGGCCAGCAACATCTACCAAGACATCGCACACGGGTCAATCTCTGTTTTTTTTCACTGCATCAGGAAGAAGATTCAGGACTATTAAAACGCGGAATAACAGACTGAGGAACAGCTTTTTCACCAAAGCGGTGTCCTCCATCACACCCTCACTCATCACCCCACCCAAGTCAGATTTAGATTCAGATTTAATTACTCAGAAAGTAGTTGAAACCCAGTGCCGGCAAAATCTGTCAGTATCCAGAAGAATATGTTTTAACAGTTGTAGCCCACCCAAAAAATGTTTATTTTATTTTTAAAGTAGGACACTGTGTCATTAACAAAATGCTTTGCGCTAGTTAGGGGGTAATGTAAGAACCAGTGCAACAAAGGAGAAAGAAACAAACTGAGGCTGGTTCATATTGAGGATCAGGAATAAACTGAGGATGATTCACAACCAGTTAAAAGTTCCTCACAGTCACTTTAATCACATATATTTTAAAACACAGGACAGTCTTTGAAGGTCAATAACGTTAACAAAAAAACGAAGCACAAAAATGAAAATTACATTTTTCAGATTAAACAAAGTAATAACATTTATTTATTGGGAACAATGAACGTTTTAACTTGTTGTGCAAATCACAGCACAAACTACATTTAAATATTGACTTCTGTCATACCCAAACATTCTCTCCAGCTCTACCCAGCATTTTCTCTCAGCCGCATGTTTTGGACCGAGTAACTAGGATGTGCACCGTGGTGTGTTGTTTGAATGCACACAGCGGAGAGTAGCAAACACTTCTATTTTTTGATTAAATATAAAGCCTATTGAAGACAGAAATATATCTTTTTGATTGATGTAATTGCCGCTGGAATCAATCTTCAGAAACAGCCATAGTTGTCCACTGTATTGATATTTTTGTTCCTCAGATGTGGCCAGTTTGAACCTAGACAGAGACTTTTGCATGCATGTTTACCGATTCATGAATCTTACAAATCTAAAATTCTTAGTCCAAAACAATGATATAGTTCTTAACAGTGGTGCATTGCAATTATACACATATTTTTCATTGACTATTAAATATGCTTGCATCTTAGCTGCCAGTAATGACTCTCTGCAATTCCTTGCCATTTATTGGAAATATTGACGTTTATATTTGTCTTGCGCCCTCCAGTAAGTCCTGGACCAACCTAAATGCCAGACAGCCAGGGGATTTTTGAGATGGCAAGAAACTGAAATGTTCTGTTTATCCATTGTTATAGATTTCCACTTATGTCACCTCCCTTCTCTGTCTATTATAGGGATGAGTTACAGAAACCAAATTCGGACTCCTTTTCGGAGGTGATTCTATCCAGGTACCCAGTTATTTTCAGGGGCTTGCAACAGTGCTATTGACCATGATAAATCAAGCAGTTACAACGCCTGCTGTTCAGCAAACCAAAAACCGTTGCTATCGATGGGAGTTAATTGTCACTTTGCTATATCCTATGATATAATCCAGAAAACGAACTGACTAGAGAGCGAGGCTACCATGACATAAACTTTCTTAACCCACCGCTCAATGTACCGTGATAGGCCAAATAATGTACCATTCTCGACAGCACATACTTATGGCTAGTATTGCAGCTGTCAAAGGCCAGATTTCAGTTAATTCAAGAAGCTGTGGCAATCAGTTTCCTGGCAGGCAACAAACACCGCTCATTGGATATCGGTATGACTTGTTTTCATTTATCAATACAAATTAATCAGTCTCCATATCATTTCATTTGATTAATAAATACATGACACTTCATTTATTTATATTTTTCTTGTACTATTAAACATTTAATCATCCATAGATCGGGAAAGCTCTCCATGCAGGCACAATAAATGTATACCAAACTGCTGAAAATAACAACATTGAATGATAATCCAATTCAGGAAAAGTATAGATTGCCTCAAAGCAATTGACAAGTCATTGTAGTTGTGCTTTCTTAACACTACAGGCTAAGGATGCTGTTGATTATCTTTCAAACAACAACAGCTGCTGCTGCTGTACAAACAATATTGCACGCAGCATTTTTTGCCCCAACTGTCCGTTAGGGCAGCAACTGAAATGGCGACCATGTAGGCTGTATTATAAAGTGATGGTTAGGTAGGAAAAAACTGCATCTTTAATTCATTCCGTCAGCAGCAGAAAGGATCTGTATCTTCTCTTGGGGATAGCCCACCCCCCTCTACTGACAGGGAATTACAGTCATCAATCCACTTCTATACTGTACATGTAAGAATTGTTGTACATATACTCCGTAGTATATGTACAACAATTACATATAATTACAACAATTACAATAGTACATATACTCCATGGTATCCAAAATGGTGTACACAAGATTGTTAGAAACCTAAGGTCCATTTCTACTGAATATTTGTGAATCCAGCTGCATGTGAAGGAAAATCTTAGGATTTCTAATCTGATTCCAAATATGTCAAAGTGATTTGTAATCCATTTCCTGTGGATATTTGAAGAGAATTCCCACTTGGTCGAAGTGAAGCTGGGACATAGTGGGATTTGTAGTTCAGTTCTTCACCTCCATAGCTCCATGGCTGGTGCAATCCAAATTGACTTGTAAAACCTCAATGTGTGTTTTCTCAGTTTATAAAAGGTGAAGAATCTTTCCATGAGTACTCAATACTACCATGTAATAACCACTCATGGACACCCTGGAACATGTATTCTTTGCAAATACACAAAGAAGAAATATAAAAGACAGCAGCTAGGTTTAAGAATTGGTTACAAGGGAAGCATTTGATAGCAATGCCATTAGTAATCTCAACGCAAAATCTATTTTTGTTAATTGATGTTTTGGATTTTAGGATGGAAAATAAATTAAATCTTAAACTTTTAGTTAAACTGAGAGTTTGAGTTAATTCAAAAGAACTTCTTACAACCCATTTTTGCATATTTACTCTCTCCAATTAATAAATCCTTTACAAGTGCAATGATAAAACACAGGATAATGATTATAAGTTTCATTAAACCCCCTCCTGTTGGCCACGTACATCCCAAAATGTTGATGTGATGCACTCTTTCTTTCATTGCTTCAAAAAGTTACCCGTGTAACAATGCCTGAAAAAGTAGACACTGCAATCCCACAGTTAAACATAACGATGTTAATTAATTGACAGCAACAATAGACATTTTATTAACAAGAAACGTGTTGATAGTTCTTAAATTGCCGAATGGGACCCACCCTTTGGAAAGGGCTAGTTCCCTTTTTCATTAAAAACTCTTTGTTCCTCCATCCATTCCTCGACTTTGCTCATTTTCTCCTGTTTTTTCCCCCAGCATTTCTGTCGCATCACCCTGCAACAAAAGAACATCAAATATTCTTAAGCATGATCTTCAACTTATAGATATACAAATAGATCTCAAATTAAAGCAGCGATAAACGGGCCTTTGCCTCCCCCTTGCCTGTCGGGGGGGGCTGCCCGACAGATGGACACGCGGTCAGAATAAAAAAAGAAAAAGAATTGGAAAAAAAAAAATAGTCCAGGAAGGGATTTGAACCCAGGACCATACACTTACCACAGACTAGACTACAGGGTCATTTCCTGAAATACATTAATCCATACACTCAAGGCAGAGAACAAGAGCTGATCATACTACTGCAGAGAGAAGTTTGCTGCTTCTCCAAGGAGAATTCTCAACAAAAGAAAAAAATACAGAAAAAAAGAGTTTGATGTGGGATTCAAACCCCAGTCTGTGGCCCTAACCTTAGACTAGGCTACAGTACTTGCTGTATTAAAACACTGTGACGGCCCCGGGGCCACTGCCAGGGTATTTGTGGGTGTGTCTCTGTCTGTGTTTTGTTACAGGGTGAACCTCCTGGTGGAGTGGAGCTGAGGCCATCAGGCAGATCAGACGCAGCTGGCCACTGTCTCTAGAGTGCATGAAAACCTGCCCCTTTCTGATTGTTTGGGGGTGACTACTTGTTCTCTCCTGGTCCCCAGCATAATGGTGTTTTCTTTGCTGTGTTTTGTTTGTTTAATTAGTTACGTCAGTAAATAAACATCCTTTGCTGGTAATCACTGGAGCGTGGTTTCCTCTATTTGTTGTGGCCTTTGAGCCGGACCATAACAAATTGGGGGCTGGTCCTGGAAATTGTACTATTAACAGAGTTTAATTAATTGATGATTTTGTGGAAACCTACAAAAGGGGGCATTGACCCGGGTTAATTTGTTGCTGTGGGATGATTTGGAATCGTTGGTTCAAGTTGGTTTCTGTCTGGTCACGGGACAAGGAAGGTAAGCATTGAACTTTTTGGTTGCGCAAATGTATATATTAAGCCAATTCCCCTATATGTATAGCGCGTTTTCCTCTTTAGGATGCGTGTGCACAGGAATGTAGTGCAGGGTGAAAGTGGTTGGAGCGGTTGTCTCGGGAGCACGTCCATGGTTGTGGCGAAGTTGCCAGCTTTGCTGGTCGCCTAACCAAACTATTGGGTTGTGGTGCGTAAATACCCGCGGCAAATAACTCCTGAAGACTAGGGTTGAGTTAGGTAGATTGGGTTAGGCAGTTTAGAGGGGATGCTCCATTTGAGGTTATTTTGTGGTCTGTGTTGCGCACTATTTAGGTCAATACTATACATTCTTTTGTTTACCAGGGACTGATTGCTGTTGTGCATTGGTCAGGTCGTGTTAATCATGGTAGGAGTAGATGAGTTCATTGCTATTCCTTCGGAGAAATTTTTGGATCAGTGTACTAGGGATCAGTTGTTAAAGATAGCTGATCATTATAGACAAGTTTCCTGAGTGAAATAAGCGGGCCGCCATTGGCTGCCAACGACTTCCGGTTGTGTATGCAAAGCACTTCCGGTTAGCGAGTTAGCGTCTTTTACGGTCTATGGTTAGCGTGCAGAAAAAGTAAACTATGGGTGGTGTTACACGCCGACACGGCTCCGGGACATATTGTGCTGTTCACGGTTGCAACAATTCGTGGCGATTGCTGAATGTTTGGTCGGAAGGAGAATGTTTCGACCATAAAAACATTTTTCTGTTTTGCGGTAAAATGCTATAGATTTACACTCAAATACGGAAGGCTTATCATTCGCGGAAGTCAACACAGTCTACTAATTATTACGCAGACGAATGTCAGCTTTTTCATAGAAAAAAGTAAGTTAATACCTTTATCCATTCCGACGCTATTAATAGATATGTCAGGGGTGCGCACTTTGACGCTCGTCAGTCGACTTTGAAGGGTTAAAGCATGCTTTTAGTGCAGGCAGGCTAGAGGGGATTACTTTTTCTTTTTATTACTCTTCGTGTTCTGTTATATATTAACACACGGATACATACAAACATCTTAATACAAGCATAAGATGGGCTAACGTACCTTCCAAAGCACGGCGGCTGCATGGCTACAGGTACAGCCTGCAGTCTCCACATCTCCCGTCTTGGTAACCAAAACCCAGGCGTTATGCGCTGAATTGTTAACGGACTCGCTTGGTTGAACATCGGCCATTATATGCCCATATCGTGTAAAAGTACACAGCCCACTTTGTCGGAATGGAGGTACTAAAACACCTCTGAGCTTTTCAGGTTATTAATTGCATTCCCATCCACCGCCATGGAATCAATACAATAAGAAAAGATCTTGGATGTTGTGATGCTGGGCCATATCGACATGTTGTCCGCCCATGATGTTACCTTACTTGGATGCGGATTGGTCAAAACACCATTTTTAACAAGATTTTCGGTCGAATGTTGCCATTCCAAAGCCATTTTTACACCACTACTCAGCCTGCGCCGGAAGTTCTTGGCAGAAACAGGAAGTAAACCGGAAGTGCCCGGGAAACTTGTCTATAAAATCAGCGTAGGTGACAGGAAGTTAAAGGAAAATGTTAGATCTACTATAAGGGCACATGTCTATGATATGGGAGTTTTAACACCTGTATAAAAATCACATAGTCCTACTAATTTGGCTTTGGATGGGTTTTCGCAGGATATGGCTCATAGTGTAGCTTTAAATTTTGAACAGAAAAAAGAAATGTTGATATTGAGGATGAAGTTAGAGAAGGAATTGGAGTTGGAACAGATGCGGCAGGTTATACACGAGTATTCCAGTCTGTTTGGAGATGTGCCATCTCGTACACATGTATTGGAGCATGACATTGAAATAGTGGGAGATCAAGCAGCGTTTTTATCGAGTAAGTCCGGAAAAGCGGAAATCTTTGGATGCTGAAGTTGAGTATATGCTGGAAAATGGTATTGCTGAACCATCATCATCAAGTTGGGCGTCGCTTTGTTTATTGGTTCCGAAATAAGATATTACCCCTCGGTTTAATTAGTAAATTTGACCTGTTTTAAAGGTTAGCTGACAGATATTTTGAAGGGTAAGGTAAAATCTATCTTGTCTACTAGCTGCCAAACAGCTTCTGAAAATGTGAAGGAAATTCTGTGCAATGCTCCTGTTTTGGCATCTCCTTCCATGGACAAACCGTTTAAACTTCAGGTCATGTAGGGGCGGGAGGTGATGAGTTTGGTATTGACCGACCAGTGGGTTTTGTGAGATGCATGTACTGGTAAAATATGACATTGTTTTGTGCTAAAGCCGTGTCTCAAGTGTCCTGTATTTGACCCTGATGTGCAAAGAGCAGCATGATACAAAATGTTGCTTTGCAGCTGTGTCCTGAGAAGGGAGGGCGGTCAACTCAAGCTCATAGACGCTCAAAACAAAGGATTTCTGTTCATGGCCTTGGTTCATATCTTATTTGGTACGAAAGTTCCGGATCCACATTTTTTACTTTATGTCAATTAATTATGATTTGCACCGGCCACTAAGGAGGATCTTGTGTGTGTGTGTGTGTGTGTGTGTGTGTGTGTGTGTGTGTGTGTGTGTGTGTGTGTGTGTGTGTGTGTGTGTGTGCTACCCTCTGCTTCACCTGGGTTGTTATCTCAGCCTGCTTTGTAGCTTCTCATAACTGGCACGGAGAATGTCCTTCACATGTGTATAAAAACTCAGCGTTTTTACTGCTCGGAGACGTCATTACACCGGGCGCTGAGATACATGCTGGTGTGTTGGACCTCCCGCTTGCAAGCAATAGTTAGAGCCAGATATCTGCGGAGAATTGCTCATGTAATCTTTTTCTCTTCAAAATAAATGTTAACTTTTGACTTTAATTGATCAACGTGCTGCGATTCTTCTCATCAACCAACTCGGGGGGGATTGGAGATCCTGACAGTTTCTATTTGAAAAAATGTAACAAACATCAGTTGAATTATTCTGTAATTGAAAAAGAAGTATTTGGTCCTTGCAACACTTTGATGTGTATGTGGGTTCAGGTCCGGTGATTATTTATACAGATCACAATCCATTGACATTTTGAACTCCCTACACCGAGTTGTGAGGTTACAGGATGAAGAAGAAAGGAGCAAGTACTGGTCAGGGGACTTTGTATTAGGTGTAGTGACAGTTATGTGTAAATAGAGCTTTGAGGAATAATTTAAAACCGGTACAATCAAAAAACAAAAAAATAAAAAGTTTAAATATTATGACTGTGAAAAGGAAGAGCCTTTTCCCCAAATTGACTGACAAGTGGGCGAGTTCATTCCTTGTTTGGGACCGGGCACAGAATATATATCTAACCGCCTAAATGTGTACATTAATGTCAGCACTTGATTATATAATTGTTCACATGTACATGACAATAGTGTTGACGTTATGCTAATAATTTACATACATTCTTATATAACTGTTTCGGATACAGCCGGTTCAATTAGACCTGACCGAACCCCCTGCCATTTGGTTTCTCCCCAATTAGCCCAATTGACGGGAAGGCTGTATAAAAGCGAGGGGAAAGGGATACGCAAGGAGAGTCTGGAGTGAAGTCACCTGCAGAGAGGTTGTTGTTCCTCCAAGTGTTTGGGTTTTTCCGTTTTGCTGAAGACCAACGTAAGGTAATAAAACAGAATGGTTAATCGCATCCCAGAGCGCGGCTTCTTTCTTGACTGCACCTCATCCAAACTCAAAGCTTGGTGAGCCCTTGACGCCACCATCCTGTGTTGCCGTTGGCCTCAAAGGCGCTACGTCACAATGACTTTATAGTGGTTGTTGGTCAGAGTTCCGGTAGGGACCCTGTCTTTATGGGGTGACGGCCCCGGGGCCACTGCCAGGGTATTTGTCTGTGTGTCTGTGTTTTGTTACAGGGTGAACTTCCTGGCAGAGTGGAGCTGAGGCCATCAGGCAGATCAGATGCAGCTGGCCACTGTCTCTAGAGTGTATTAAAACCTGCCCGTTTCTGATTGTTTGGGGGTGACTGCTTGCTGATTGCAGAACGTATTTCACTTTTCTTTTTGAAAATGTGTTAATTTTCTATTTGTTTTTACGCTGCAGATCGATCAAACGGGTGTTTGTGTTATTTATGAGAGGCAGTATTGGAATTTCATTTACACAAGTCTAGTTTTACACACTCGCACACGTTTACGTGTTTCTTGCATTTGCCGACGGTTCTCATTTCACCCGTTTTTGTGCGTACGCATGGGTCCGAGCTTGGGTGAAGCACCGCACATTTTTCCGTCAAGTTTGCTTTTTAGAAATACAATTTATTGCGTAGAGAGCGGCGTACGCCTTTTGTGCGTATGCAACGAGGCCCCTGGTCCCCAGCATAATGGCGTTTTGCTTTGCTGTGTTTTGTTTGTTTAATTAGTTAGTTCAGTGAATAAACATCCTTTGCTGGTGCAGAACACCAGCATTTAAACATGTAGGACAACGTCGGTGGCTTCCCAAAGAGAGCAGAGCTGTGGTCAAGTGGCTGCACAGACCTTTTCTCAAGTGGATAATTTCTCTCCAGTTAGGATGTGAACAGAGGTCCAGTCATGTTGGTCACAGTGGGACATTTGACAAACTTCATTCATTATTTTCATGTCTATTCTGCTGATATGCAGGAGGAATCTGCAGCCGCCAGGCGAGTGCACCTAGATCAAAGCAGTTGCTGGAGCTGCATAAATGAAACCTTTGGAAGCATTGAAATCATATAAAGTACATGTTTAACGTTAAATTTAAGTGCAAGATTGGATTAAGCGGTGGTGCCTCAAAAGCACCACCGCTTTGACCTTCAAGAATGGGTTTCCATGGCAACAGCGTTGCGAAACAAAACTGTTTTAATAACTTTTAAACATTTTCATGTCCAGAAAAGATATTAAGTGAAAACCATAAGCCAAATAAAGAATATTGCTGATTGCAAAGAAACCCAGCTGCTAAGGTCTCAACCAGAATAGGCCCAATTCTACAATGCCAGATTCGGTACAGGTTCGGCAGCCGGAACCAAAGAGCTTGAACCGGTTTCAGTGCTAGTGGCCGTGTCATGTCACAACCAGTTTAGGCTCGTTGCTATAATGCCATATTCAGGAATCAGGAACATTTATTGCCATAATATGTACACTGGACGACAAGACAACGGTGCATGAGTAAGGGAGTAGTATAAGGCTATGGGTTAGTTTAAAATGAAGGAATAAAAGTTAATATTTAAAAATGAAGTTCACCAGCAAATAGAAAGTGACTGCAGCAGTTAGCCAAACTCCATTTGAAGGAATACGGGAGTCGGGATAATCGTTCAAGCTCCAAATGCTTTATTTTACAGCACTGACAATGAAAGATTCAAATTGGAGTAATCGAGTATCTCATACATTTTGATGGCATTCTCAGGGTGTCAGGATAAACTTTCACAAGACATATCTTAGAACAGGACTTTGCCGCAAAGTTGTTTCCACAAATCTCAGTACATAGAGAGTTCACAACCGGTGTTGTACGCTCTTTCTCCTCCTCCCTGCCGTGTTCCGTTTCGCTCTCCCCACCGTTCTCTGATGGGGAGCGTAAGGTCCTGGTAGCCCACGGAGGTACTCCAGGATGTAGAGCTGTAAGATGATGTTCACTGTTGCACTCCTCACACTTCAATGTGCTTTTGCAGTTTTGAGCGAGATGCGATGAGCAGCACTTGAAGCAGATCCCTTGCTCCTTCAAGTACGTTTTCCGTTCTTCGATGGTTTTGAGTCTGAAGCCATGGCATTTCCGCAGTGGGTGAGGCTTGTTATGAATTGGGCAGTGTTTAGCGATGTCATCTTTAAGTGCTGAATTGTTCTGAGCTTCAACAGGGGAGACATTAGTCTTATGCACTGACACTGGAGCTTTAAAGTTAACGTGCTTCAAGAATGTTTTTTCTCTTTGAGGGGAGCTGTTGCTAGGGAGTGCACTCTTAGACTGTTCAGGAGGAAGCGAAGTCAGATTCTTTGTTTGTTGTTTGTGCGGCAAGTTAAAGAATGACTGACTGTTGGCTAAAATGACCGGTGTGGTCCCTGATGTAATCGCTCACACGTTGATGTGTGGCTCATCAACTCATCACCCTCATATTCTGCAGCTGACTCAAATACCTCTGCCTGGGCGTTAGCAGCTGCAGCCTCTTTTTCAAAGTGCAGGGCTTCCAGATTAGCTTCAAGTCTTGCTTTGTCAACTTTCATGGCAATCTCCCTCTCCGCAAAGGTAACCCATGCTCGCGCAGCCTCTGCCCTTGCTCTTGCTGCTGCAGCACCAGCAGATGATCTAGAAGATCGCGATGCACCAGAATGTTTGGAATTGCAGACAGATGCTCCATCTTGTAAGCTCTGTGTTTCCTCTTCAGTTGCAGGTTTTAGATACGTTTCATCCATAGCGGTTGTTACTCACTGTGATCCGTTGCTGTTGCGTTGTTTAGCCAGCTGCATATCAGTCTTTTTACTGTACTGCTCTCCTTGTGCGTGTAGCTTCACAATTCAGCAGTTAGCCAAACTCCATTTGAAGGAATACAGGAGTCAGGATAATTGTCGAAGCTCCAAATGCTTTATTTTACAGCACTGACAATAAACGATTCAAATTGGAGTAAAAAGACTATTCTTTCGAAGGCGTTTAACATGGCAGCGGATGATTTCTCTGAAACAAAACAGTCTGGCAGCCATCAACTGGGCAGAACCTGTTATAGTGCTGGTTGGCGATAAACCCGGTGGCCATGTCTGAGCCAGAATAGGGCCACGTCTGTAACAGCTACATCTGGGCCAGATATGGCATAAATTGAATGGGCCAAAGCTGGCTCACATCTGGCCGCAATAAAATGAATCATATAATCATGGCAAAAACTGACACCGCCTCCCCGCGAGGGTTACAAACCTGACAAAGCATTGCAGACAAGTTAACGTTAAATGCGTAAGTGATGGTAAAATGTATAGGCTCATTTGACAAATCAATCAGATTATATTTCTTTAAATGTGCCTGGTGGCAGGAGGCTTCATGGATGCGCATCATCCAATGAGAATAATGATCTCAACTCTTTCAGAATATGTACATGAAAACAAGCCCAAAGAGTCTAATTCAGCGATTCCCAAAGTGTGGGCAGCGGCCCCCTGGTGGGCCGCAAAGGTACTGCAGGTGGGCCGTGAGAGGTCATTTACAATATATATATATATTTTTTTTAATTTTCACATTAGTTATGTGAAACATTAGTTGATGAAGCACAAACAATTTAAACGGACGGATTAATAAAACAATAAGGCTCTTGCTCGAAACTGCTGCTCTTGTCCGCCTGTCGTTCAACAATGGGGCGCTCTCTTGTAGTATTAAAGTAAATATACCGCGTTTTCCGCACTCCAAGGCACACTTAAGGCTTTAATTTTCTCAAAGCGACAGTGCCTTTATAATCCGGAGCGCCATATATATATATATATATATCACTGAGATTAAAGAGCAAGAGACGGTGCCCTTTTCTTTACAGTAGCTGAACCATCTTAAAGGGGGAAATAAGTTATTCTAAAAGCAGCCGAAGATTTAAGGCGTGGATGGCGAGGGGGGCGGCGGGAGTGGACGCACCTCACGGCATCGATCGGACCCTGAAAGCACAGTGTCCACCTTACTGTCAAAAAGAACAACAGCGAGCGCCTAAAAAAACTCCTTCGAGCGCGAGCAGAGATTCTCCTCGCGAGCAACGAAGTTCACTTTTCGGATGTTTGATTTTGGTCAAATTCTTAAGGTCATTTAATGATTATGTTTTGATCACAGTTGTGATTAAAGGTTTGGGTGGGCCGCAAAAGATTTTCAGATTTCAAAGTGGGCCGCGGCATTCTTGAGTTTGGGAACCGCTGGTCTAATTGATACGAATGAAAAGGATATGTACTGTATCAGCTTATGTATCATATGTATGTGTAGATGACCATATAGAACTAGTTTTATTATGTGTGTGTGTGGATGTGTATGGCAGAATCGGTATATATCTATTCTTCATTATCAGACATTTGATCAATTGAAGCAGTGAAATCCAGAAGTTTATTAAGCGACTGTGAGACTGTGTGTGAGACAGTATGAGAGATAGTCCGTGGGACAGTATGTGAGACAGTCTGTGGGACAGTGGATGCTCGGCTGCGTGACGTGACGTTTTGGCTTGGGAAAATCTTAAATAAATGATTCCTGTCTTCAGCATCAATAGCGCTCCTACAGGACGTCATCACGGGTCTTCATGATCTCGTAGAACTCTCTCCTAGAAAACGTTAATCTAACTGACATCGCTCCTTCATCAATGAGGAAGTGACTGGCCTTTTTTCCGGGGGAGTGGCGAACTAATCCAGCAGTTCAGGTGAACCTGGTGCAGGTTGAAGTTTTTTGATGTGTTGCTATGGTGATTTAGCCAAACCTGCTTCGGGGAACCAAAAAGCCTGATCTAAGTCATCTCATCCTGAAAATTATCCGGCTAACTCAGTTAGCCACGTGTTTGACTCGCAGAATCAAGATAGGTCTGTCTCAGCAACCTGTGACAGGGTTTAATAACATTACAACCCTAATTAGGGGTCAGGTGTCTTGCTCAGGGAAACTTCGACATGGAGCAGCCGGGGCTCGAACCACCAACCTTGCCTGGTTCACCCGCTCTACCCCTGCGCCATGTCGACCCTAATAAAGTACTTTTTTATCTATCTAACTGAATGTCAAACACTTCTGTGAGGGGCTTTAGGGGGCCATGCAGGTGCACAAAAGGAGACTTTTCAGTTCATTGCTGTCCACGCTCTAACTTTGGACTGACCTCTTCTTGCAAAAATAAACGTTAAAATTATTTCTATGATCTCCCCAGGATTTAATCATGACCTTTGACAGAGATAGACAATTTTAGTCCCACATATCACAGGATTCTGAAGAGAATTGTTTGACAGGGATCTTGTCCAAAGTGCAATATTTGACAAGTTTTCAAAGAAAATAAGTGACATAAAATAAATGACTTAAAAAAAGATTCAAAACAGTGCTGTATGTTTGAGTACCTATTAGAGGGGTTCGGGGTAGGCTTGTCTTGGATCGTAGGTCTGCATATGAGGGATGTAGGTCTCATGGGGGACAGGATCTAGCGGAAGTCTGTCCAGAGGCAAATCAGTGTAGCCGTATGGGAGGTAAGAGCCATCTAACTCTGAAACAGACAATGGAGAGCACAGATCAAACATATATAATTTACAGATGCACTTCCCTGACTATTTTGGTGATGTGCATATTTTCCAAGCCGCAGTCATCCAGACGCACTCCCTGGAGGAGTCTGTGAAATTCAAGCTGTGTGCGCGACCGATGTCATGAACCCAAACATAACAGTTTGGCGAAATTTCGCCTAATTAAGCAAAAATTGGCTTTGGCTGTGGCTGAGCAGCTTGAGAGCTGTAAGTTCCTGTTTAAGCTGTAGTCAGCGTAACATCAGCAGTTTAGCTAACTTTTCCTAAATTATGTTGTTCAAGGTACCAACATACATACATACATACATACATACTAACGTATTAGTGTAAGGTGTGCTAGGGTTTAGTTCATTCTGCAACGTCATTACTCTCTTTACTGATTATAGCTTCTCATTCAACATCTGTTGAAAATATGTTCAGTGTCATTTGAGAAAAATGTTTGTGTATATATCACTGCATGAAAAGGGAGATTTTCGTCCCCGTAAAGCCCGAAATCTCCCTAATTTACGACCGTTTCTGACAATTTGCAACCTGCGCACGTCGCGTTTGTCTGTGCCACAAATTGTCGGAAACGAACCATGACGTATGTGGAGAGCTGGCGGAGGTGCGAATGGCCCTAATTAGCATATGAATGCAGTGAAACCGCAGGTGGCCGAGCGGAGTGGGCTTGAATATCCTTACTCCTTATTGGATGAAACCACAACTTTCAAACAAGTAAAATCATTCGTGATTGGTTGGCAGATCTGTCGCTATTTGTCACCCGCCTCATTTTATTTATATATTCATATTATGCTGTATATTCATTTCATTGTTATCCTATGTAGGCTACTACACTATTATTAGGACATCAATGCATTTATAGAGAAAATGAACATTTGCCAGGAACATGTTTATGCAAAGAAAGCTTTATTAACAACATACAAACAACAACTATAGACAAAGTGAGGATCTGCCCACACTTGGGTAAAGGCGGTTTAAAAAACTACAGCTCAGTAAACTGTCCGTTTGCCTCCTCTGGGTTGTAGACTGTCACTGGCGGCGTGTTTTCCGAGGCAGGCGCCTCAGGTGTGTGGCTCTGTATTTCTGAGTCTCCTTCGAGGCGACTACGCAATGGCGGCGACCGTACAATCCACCCCGAGACCCTACCAACGACGCCATCCTCTCCGTCCGACGTGAGCTCTACGGTGGCGGATTTCCAGAGTTCCACCTCGTCATCAGCCAGCACACTTTGTCTCAATTCCAGCAGCTGTAAAAACAATGAATCAGTACTGTGCGATGCGTATGGACACAACACATCTATCAATGCACCTGAAAAAAGTCAGTAAATAAACTCTTACGCTCGACTCTGCGCTGAATTCTTCGCAGCTTCCGCCCGCAATGAGTGTTCCGGCTGGGAAAACCTGAAGCTCCTGCGTACAGTCTCAATACGTCTTGCAGGCGGCTGGAAAACAATTAAATGGGTGTGGTATGAATAAAAAAAAAAAAAATCAAACGCAAGTCACAGTAACATTGAACAAGGAAGGAGAAACCGTAAACAGTGTCACTTACACACAATGACGTCTTTATCTAAATCGAAATCTGGACTTTTCTGGAGCAAATCCGAGGTCACTGCCTCATTATGGCGAGATTAGTCTGAAAACAAAATGTACAGTTATGATCGTATCCATCCTATGGTATCTATACGTATATATTTCCTTATACCGCAGAATGAAAGTATATTCTTTAAATCTTACCCTTGCTCCGGTTCGTAACGCCTGTAATTCGTCTCGGAGTTGTGAAGACGGCATACCGCTTCCTGTAAACGACACGGCAAAGAAAATACACTTTAATAAAGCTGTTTCTGCTCACTTGTAAGGCTACTAGGCTACTCTTAGCTTTCGTTTTACGCTACTTTTAGCTTAGCTTGCAGTCATCGAACATATTCTTACCGCTATCTTGGGATTGTGTGCCCGTCTCCTCTTCTTTGAGTCAGTTCCTCCAGAGCCGCCAACCTCTCCTCTATGGACAGCAAGCTGGAGAGTCCCGAACGCTCCAGTGGAGCGAACCGCTCGTTGATATCAGCAGTTTGTTGTTGCAGTTGACGAGACAATCCACTGAGAGCATTCAGCAGTTTCTTCTTGTCTGTCTGCGGACTGGGCGAAAGTTGCTGACCGCGGAGAGGAGTTGAAGGCCAGTTGAACGCGAGACGTCGTCCAGCCATTATTCACGAACCAGCAAAAACCAAACAAAGGAACTGGAGTTCTTCTGAATATAGTAACACACTGTTTGTATGCTCGTCTTGCAAGTACTGCTGTCTGAGTCATGCCTATGACCTCACACGTGATTGGACGAGGAGTCTAAGGGTCCTCCAATCACATACAAGGTTATTGTTATACAGAAGGACCAGTATTTTAGGAAGACAAATGGTTGGGACTTTGTCGTGCAATGAAACAGCTGATATGCTTTATGTAAAGCAGTGTTTTGCTTTAGAAGAAAACTGTACAGTGGTGCCTCTTTCTCCATTCCATATGTTCCACCACGTAAACGGGTAACATATATGAATGTAACTCAATCGATAGATGTAGAGCATAAAGGTCAGCATATGTTTATGCTAAGTGGTGTGGAAACGCTAACAGTTTTGAGGAACCTGTCCTTGACCCTCCAGCAGAACTACAAATAGCCATTATAAAGCAGTTTATAGTTGTTACATTACATTTAGCGGACACTTTTATCCAAAGCGACGTGCAATAAGTGCATTCAACCATAGGGTACAAACTCAGGAGAACAAGAAAGTGCAATTTCCTCAAATAAGCCAATTTACAATTTGCTATAGATGAGTGACGTTACAAGTACAATTTAAGTGCTACAATTTGTTAGTCTTTAGTAGAGATAGTCTGAAGAGGTGTGTCTTTAGTTTGCGGCGGAAGATGTGAAGACTCTCTGCGGTCCTGGTGTCTTCAGAGAGCTCGTTCCACCATTTCGGCGCAAGGACAGCAAAGAGTTGAGATCTAGTCGAGTGTTTTGCACTCAGTGAGGGAGGGACGAGTAGTTTTGCAGATGCGGAGAGTGCGGGTCGGGATGTAGGGTTTGACCATGTCCTGGATGTAAGCTGGACCCGATCCATTCACAGCATTGTAGGTGAGCACCAATGTTTTAAACTGGATGCGGGCAGCCACCGGTAGCCAGTGAAGAGAGCGGAGGAGTGGAGTAGTGTGGGAGAATTTCGGAAGGTTGAAGACCAGTCGAGCTGCTGCATTCTGAATGAGCTGCAGAGGTCGAATGGCGGTGGCAGGGAGACCAGCCAGGAGGGAGGTGCAGTAGTCCAGGCGGGAGATGACAAGAGCCTGAATCAGTACCTGCGCTGCCTTCTGAGGGGACGTATTCTCCTGACGTATTCTCCTGATGTTGTAGAGCGTGTATCTACAGGATCGCGTTGTCGCGGTGATGTTGGGAGTCAGGGAGAGTTGGCTGTCGAGTGTGACGCTGAGGTTCTTAGCGGTCAAAGTGGGCGTTAGTACGGAGTTTCCAAAGTTGACTGTCAGGTCCTGGGTAAGCGAATCTTTTCCGGGAAAAAAGTAGTTCAGTCTTGTCGGGGTTGATTTTCAGATGGTGGGCGGACATCCACTGAGAGATGTCAGTTAGACGGGCAGAGATCCGAGCCGCCACCTGGGTGTCCGAGTGAGGGAAGGAGAGAATTAGTTGGGTGTCATCAGCATAGCTGTGGTAAGAGAAGCCAAGCGAGCGAATGACAGCGCCAAGAGTTGGTGTAAAGCGAGAACAGGAGGAGACCCAGCACGGAACCCTGAGGAACTCCAGTAGTAAGAGGACAAGGTTCCGACACAGATCCTCGCCAGGTTACCAGGTAGGTGCGGCCGTCGAGGTAGGACGAGAGAAGGGAGAGAGCAGAGCCTGTGACACCAAGTTCCTGAAGGGAGGAAATAAGGATCTGGTCGTAACAGAGGAGAGAGAGGTGGCTCTAGCAGTGTGGAGTTGCTCTGAGACCGCAAGGAGAGCAGTCTCTTGTTGCTGCTTAAATGCTTGTTAGCATTTAAACATGTTCTTGCACACATTTCCTGGCTTCATCCCCACCCCGGACAGATATTTTTCATGGAAAGCAAAGAGAAGTTTGGGGCTTGCAGGGAACAGACACGTCATACCCAGCATAATTTCTGCCAGTTGAGCGCATTGCTAGAAGATGTGTGGTTAATACATCCTCTGTGCATTTAAGTAAGACCAAAGAAAAGCTCACTGTAGTCCTGCCACTATGCACTTGAGCTCTAGGAGACTGCGATCTCTGCAGACCCCTCATTCTGATTCAAATGCAGTTTGCATGGAATGCTCATTTTACCTTGATTAAAACTCATTTTTTAAGTTATTTTGTGCGTCTTTATTTTGTTATTAGTTAAAAAAAAGGTTGCCCGCAAAAAGACTCATAAAATAACCTTTGTTTACATTTTTGAACCCGGTGTCCTCGCACTATTTGAACTACCCGGGAGAGAGCGGCGGCGCCTCTCGTGACATCCCAATATACTGTATACACCCACAGTGCTGTCATTAGCATTATTTTTACTTTTGTGTTGATCTTTTTATTCATGTGAAGCAGAACAGAGTTTGGGAAATAAAAATGCAATTCAACAGTGATTTCAAATCGATGCTTCATCAGAGCATTTATTTAACTTCCCCTTGCATCATGCAGCTGGTGACCCAGGCATTTACAGGAGCAGTTCTCATATGAAGCATACAGTTTGTACAAAGACATCCAACACATTGGACAGGGGCCCATCAGCGTTCAGCCATCAGCTGAACTTCAGGGACCAGAACACCAGGCCGACGATGACCACACGGCCCAGTCCAGTCAACTCCTACCTCCATGTCGACCTGCAGTTAAAAGGGTTCAGGTTAAAGGGTCTGTTCAGCCAAAAGTAATGTTTACATTCTCATGGTCAAAATTGCTACAGAACGGAGCCATTTTCAGTTAGTTATTAATTTTTTAGAACCTTGTTGTAAATATCACTTCCTTGGATTCTGGATGAATACGAACCGCTGTGGCATCAGAACGAGGTGGATTACAATCTCAGAGAGCAGATTAATTAATATATAGGGAAGAGAGAGCTAGGATGTGAAATGATCTCTAAAACACTGCTCCTTGTTTGATCACAACATTTTAGCCCATGATATTCTGACTAAAAAGAATGTACAGGCCTATGTTAGTTACATTATGCTTCTGATACGTGCCCTTTTGAATGGACCTTCCCCACATTATTAATAATATACAAAAGAACTTCGTGTAATGTTAGATACGGGCAGATTCATGTTGCATTGCCCCATGTAGGAAAGTAAGGTCACAATAAAAACAAAATTACTGCATGAATTCACACCTGTATTGGGTCCATCCTGGATAACCTGAAGTGCAGAGCATAGCTAGCATAGCGCTAACATGGCACTAGCTAGCATTGCACCACTAATAACCAAACGGCTGAAAAGTGGCCAGAGAAAATCTCTCGTCTTTAGATAGCTAGCTAGGCTGTCTTTGATTGCCTTTGTGGCACTGACTGTGGCAGCTTCTCTCATTTCTGTATTTCCAGTTCTTTAAAATAATTTCAGCTTTTTTTATGCCTGTATTAACAGTAATGTTTTAATATTCTCTACCCTCTACCACCATCCACCCCATTGTCCTTTGAATTCCATGCTGTAACAATCACTCACCCGGTACAATTAACCATCATTGTCCTCTACCGTCCGCCAGGCTCCTTAGGTCATTTTTTGGAAGAATTGGACATTCTCCTGTCTAATTTCCCCGAAAATGGTCCTCCGCTCATCCTCCTGGGTGACTTCAACATCCAGACAGAGAAGTCATCTGACCTCGTACACCTACTTTCTTCCTTCGCTCTGTCACTCACTCCCTCTCCTCCTACTCACAAAGCCGGCAATCACCTTGACTACATCTTTACTAGAAACTGCTCTACCACTAACCTCTCTGTAACTCCACTTCATGTGTCTGATCACTTCTTCATCTCTTACTCCCTTCCACTCTCTATAACTAACAAACCTCCCTCATTGACTAACTCTTTACCGGCTCATCGCAATATTCGCTCCCTCTCTCCCTCCTCGCTGGCATCCTCTGTTCTATCAGCTCTCCCTTTAACTGACTCCTTCTCACTCTTGCATCCGAACGCTGCTGCAGAGACTCTCCTCTCAACTCTTTCCTCCTCTCTAGACTCTCTCTGCCCTCTTACAACACAACGGACTGGAAAATCCCCACTGGGTCCGTGGCTGTCTCAACCGGTCCGTGCCATGAGAGCCACCATGCGAGCGTCGGAAAGGAGATGGCGTAAATATAAACGACCTGACGACCTGCTTGAATTTCAATCTCTCCTCTCCTCGTTCTCTGCCTCTATCTCTGCTGCCAAAAGCTCTTTCTACCAGTCCAAAATCGAATCCTCATTCTCTAACCCCAAAAAACTCTTCTCGATCTTCTCCAATCTCCTCGAACCCCCTACCCCTCCTCCCCCCTCCACCCTTCTTCCGGGAAACTTTGGCAACTGCTTCACCAAAAAAATAGCTGACATACGCTCC